GGAGGGAGGGAGGGAGGGAGATGCATATTGAGAAAGAGGCCTGCGGCCTGTGTACTTCAATACAGTTGCAGTCTGTTCTGTATGGCACGGCAGATACCTGTCACCAACAAATCACAATCAAACTGTCCCATCTGCTGCATGGCTGCCTGCTGTAGCCATCTGCGATTGTGCCTTCCTGCCTTCGATGGTTCCTGTCTTCCTTGCTCCGGGCTGTGTTCACTCCTTTCTTCCTGCTTCGTCCAGCTTAATCTTCCTTATGAGACTGTCTGTTGCGTGCGAGGGCGAGTACATACATTCTACTCACTATATGCGATAGTTCTTCGCACAGCATGACTGTGGAACATGGTCAGTGACATGGCGGCACTTTTCGAAGCACTAGCCACAAGGGCCATCAAGTCATTAGCATGTCATTCCCCTTCAAGGATACCTCGCGCACGGCGGAGCCTCAGAAAAGCATCAGAAGATCCGATTGGAAGCTCAGCGAATTCACCCTCAACAACTCCTTCGCACTCAGAGTGGTGCCACTCCTCCCACTGCGAATTCCTGCCCTCGAATCGGTTCACCTGGCGAACAAGTGCTCGCCGCTTCACGCTCATCCGGTCGCACATTCGCCGATTGAGCATCTGCACTAGTCGTCTCCGAAAGTTGTATTCAATGTCCAGGACGCTGCAAACTACGATCAGTACATAAAATGTTTGATGAACCCACTAGTCAATCAGGCAGGCGGAGAAGCAGGCCTGCAACTCGCTGATGAGCTGCTCCAAGCCCAATACTTTGTCAGCCTGTCTCCGCTGACCAAGTGTCCACGTGTGTCTGCTTGGCGAGGGCCGGCATCACGACAGATCACCCAGACTACGTTGCACTTGTAGGCTTCGACACTCGGCCAGTACACTGTAAACTTGACCCGGACCCAGACCCACCAAATCTGAAATGCCCTGAAGGATCGAGGCTGACAAATGCCCGACAGTCGCGCGGAAAACGCCACCCTTCACTAGACCCTGGACCCGAGCAAGATAACCTTTGCGGTGTCTGCCGCTTGTTTCGCTCACTTACGAGCGTGGAGCTGTGCATCTGCCCCAAATTTGCTGGTGCATGTCGGCATCAGGAACGTGTCTGAGTCAGGGTCACGGGAAGGCAAGCGCATGCAAGCGCGACTCCGCGAGCCTCCTGGAGACGCTGCTGCTGTGCCTGTGCAAGCTCCTGCTGCAGCTTCGCAACTGAAAAACCACTGTGTGGCGCTCAGCTCTCATCTCTGAACATCTCAGTGCCTACAAGTATCACTCGAACTGCGGCTCTCTGTTGCACCGTCCTCTCGGGACTTGCGCAGCTGTCGCAAAGCTTGCTGGTGCATGTTCTCCAGGAAATCGATCCTGCTATGCTATAGATGCCCTTCTATGGGGTCTGACGTACCACGTCAACCAGGTGCGTGACAAGCAGCCGTTGCAACCGGGCATGATTAACTTGGAGCAGCTTCGCGCGCATTTCGGATGCACATGCTGCGAGTGTCGTGAGCAATGTATTCTGCATCTGTCGCTCTACCAAGTGACCAGCCATCTGGGCGAGACAGCGAAGACAGAATCGATGCTGCTCTCTGGACATGTCACTCGGCTGCCTCAAGCGCACGGCGGCCCGACGGGTCAAGCCCCGGCGCCAAGAAAATGCCAAGCGCAAGCTCCACGCCAGCTTTGGCTTATTGCCCCGTACTTCAACGCCATCCGAGGAGGTGCAACACAGTGCAATACGCTGATAACTGATACTCGGGTAACCGGTGGAAACGAAAGCAGCCTCAGCCCGAGGACACGCACCTCTCTCGGGAATGTGTTTGACAAGTACAGCCCAAGGATGCCATGTGCAACCCAACGTGATGCTTAAGTAGAAGAGCAAAGCATACTAGCCTGAGTACAGGCTAGCGGACCGCAAGCGTTCGAATTAAATTCCAGCGGATCTGCAACGCTCATCCGCCATAGAACCGGGAACTTCAAGCTCCAGCAGCAATACTGCATTGCCTCATGCACTCCCGTTCAGCAGAGTCTGTGATCCAGGTCTGCTGCCTCGTCTGCTGGGCAAAGCCGCATTGAGCGAAACGGCTTCTAAAGCGGTATACATACTGCTACCCGGTTTAAGCCGCATCACACAACACGCAATCTTGAGGCAACAGCGTGCGAGCGCGCTGCGCCCCAGCCTGACAAGACATGCAAGACGGCAAGCCCAAGTCTGGGTGTATGCCAAGTTAAGTAGTGGCAAGTCTCCCAACATATGCAGACCCTGCGAGCTGCAGCGGCCTGCTTCACGGCCATCAACTCAGTGGTCTTTTCTGGACCTCGAAATGCAAACTGCATGAGTTAGCAGGTCAATCAGGGCCCCGGTTGGATCCTCGAGGAACCTGCTGAGATCTGACGACCTTCGCTTTTTCGTTGGGGTGATGGGCGTCCCTGTAGCGTCGTGCGACACGGCCTGCGGTATGCAGCAGAGGACCCCTTCAGCTCGTGATAACAGCACCTACCAGGCATCTTCTCAAGATTTATCAGGGTGTCTCGAACCTGACACCGGCAGCGAAAGCTGCGCGCTCTGTCCTGGCCAGGAGGCGTCGGCGCTCGCTGAAGTCACCACACAGTCAAGATACTAATAACCTAAGGCCCAATCGCCTGAACGTTGTGCAGAATCTCCAGTGAAGCTCCGTGCGTCAACAAGAAGTCGACGTAACAAGCCCACAGCTGACTCACCTAGGCATGTCTGGCATGCCTGGTAAACTCGACGTGCTGTGTGCTTCACGACTGTACGGCCTCTTCGATAACGGGGACATTACGGGCTTGACGAGCTGATGCGGCATGGATGGCCTGTGCCACAGCATACGACAACTTTCTGGAAGCTGATGCGAGCCATTATAAGCCATTGCAAGCCCGAGTGCCTCCTCGAAAAGAGCCATGCATCTCGCCAGCTTGCCGGGGCCTGGACAGTGCACTTCCCAGAAACATCACCGACAGCATGAACAGACAGGACAGGAGCACCTTCGTCCGGAGCCGTGCGCATGAGAAGGGCCCTGGCAAGAAAGCTTCAGCTCGGGAAGCAAATGTCACAATGTCAGGGGTCAGGATACTTTTCGGGATCGGCCTGTGGGCCCCTCTGGGTTTCCGGGTCTTTCGAATTCATGCTAGATTTGAGATTTAGGGCCGGGGCCGGAGGACGTTTGACCGCGCAGGCAAAGTGTGAACTGTTGTTGCTTGCTGCTTCCGAATCTGACGGACTGACTGACCGCCTAGCTGACTTAACAGTGTCTGGCATTCATGTTCTCTGAAGTTGATGATGCTTTCCGCGGCACCCACACAGACTCGGATAGGATACGACCTGACAAGCTGTGATCTTCTGGCCTTGTCAAGTAGAAAGTAGTCACATTCACTGTGCCGGCAACATGTACTGAATATTTGCGTGAATAACGTCTGCAGTCTGAAGTGCGTGGAATAGAACTGTCTAGTCGACGGATTGGTCTCCCCCTCCCCACGAAACGAATCTAACTTGAAGCATGGCCGTACGGGTTCACAAGCGCGGCAGAGCGGTACACCTTAAGCTATCATAATCGAGTCCATGTTGCGTGAGCTCCAGCAGCAAGCCCGAGTCACGACATCCGGCTTTCCAAGCGTCCGTCAAAAACCTGCAGATGCGAAAAGAACTTCACGACACAAGTGGCATGTTGGCTTTTGCAAGTCTGAGGCGTCGTCTTAGCGGCCTTGTTTGGCTGTCTCTGGCAGTCCTGCCATAAAACGTGAGAAACAGTGAGAAGTTACTGGCTGCTCCCAGCCTCCATCAACCGTGCGTACCGACGACCTGAGCGAGAAGCTGAAGCGGATTGGAAGAGTGCGATGCGGATGCAGGGCCAAGAACGTGGCTCAAAAACGAGCGGGAGTTCAGGTTGACGGTCTGCAAGACAAACTTCTCCAGCAAAGACGCCGCAGACGAGGCATCCTTGAGACATGGCCGCACGAGTCTGAGTTGGGTTGCCGTTGACATCCTGCTGTCGCCCCAAGCCCCCCACGGATCTGCGCATCTCCAATGCCACTCTTCGGATGGCAAGTTCTGTCGAGCCCATGCCTCCACTGTGCCAAGCGAGCATTGCTCAAGCGAATGCGAGGCCACTTTCATGTAAGGAAAGGGCCGCAAGTTTGCAGAGCCGCATCTAGTAAAGCACAAGCACGGTGCGGTCGTCCGCATTGCTCCTTCATTGTGATGCACATTGCACCAGCATGGCACCAAATTTGATGCAGCGGCGCAGCTACGTCTGCCGCACGTCGTTATAGCGTCTCAGCAGTGCAGCCTCCAGCTCTGCCCAGGCCGCCAAAGCATCCGGCCGGCGTGACAAGCGGCCGTTCAAGCAGGCACCTGTAGAGCTTCAGCTGATGACTTTTCAATTCTTGCAATGGGGGCATACCGGCCTCGCAAAAGCGTGCAGGCAGCCTCTGGCTTGCAGGCTTGCTCCTCGCCAGAACGCTTCCCGAGGCAACGATGCTCCAGGCTCCGCCGGCTCCGCCGCCTCCATGGCCTTCAAAGCTCGAGCATACCGGAGCCAGAATTCCAAGTAGTTGTTCGTCACGACCTCACAGACAGCCCCTCTGAAACTCTGTTCTTAACGACAGCAGATGCATCAGATTGCAGCAGGAGCACGAGGCAGCGTTCGAAGAGAGCACAAAGCCGCTGCCATTCGCGCGGATGCCGCGACCTGTCCAAAAAAACAAAACCGAATCTCGCCAAGTCCGGCGACATGTCAGAAGCTCAGCGGCCAACTCCTCGAAATCCAAATAGCTCCGCCAAGCATCCAGCTGAGCTTGACTGAGGGGCTTGTTGTGGAAGTACTGTCGGTGAAGTGGTGCCTTACGGGCCGAGTCTCTGCAAAGACTTTATGCTCTACCTTAGCGGCCTCGTACTGCATCAGGACTGCTGCTTCCGAAGAGGTCTTGTTCCACAGCTCCTAGCACACATGGTTTCGTTAACTAACTCAAAGCTGCCAATGCTCGCGATGCCTCTCGGAGGCTTAAGAAGTGCTCTGCGCGATCCGATGCATCCAGCTCCTGGTTGCATCGAACTTGCCATGGACTTCAAACTGCTGTGCTCTGCACGACCGAAGGCTTCCTCAGCGCCCTTAAAACGTGCCACCGCTCCCGCCGCACTGACCTGCAGAAGTGGCACACGGCAGTGACAAAGAGCACAGCCGAGCCAAGTAGAAGCTCAAAGCTCACGAAGATGGCAGGCCTATGAAAATATTGCCAAACTTTGGATGCCCTTCTGCAAATGGCAAGACGGCGATGCGGTTGAGCAAGGAATCCGCCGTAAGTGATACCGCTGGCCCTCTAAGCTCATCTCTGTTGCCAAACTGCACTTGTGACCCCTCGCAAGATACCCGAAGAATGTTAGCAGAGGGGTCTTGCTGGCCTTCCCAACCAGACTTGTTGAGTCTGTGTTTGGAGATCTCTGAGCGCCCACACTGCTGAAACCTGCCACCTGGCAAATCATCGACAGCTACTGGGCTGGAGATCAAGCTATCGAAAGAGCTTCTCAGCACTCGCAGGCGCACCGGAACTGCAGCTTCAAGTTGGACAGTCGTGGGAGGCTCCTCTTCCTCATGAATCTCACCATCCTGGTCCGAGTCATCCTCGTCGTGAAGTTCGCCATCCTCCCGCAAGCAAACCCTGAGGAAGAACAACTGTAGAAAGCCGTGCAAGCAAGACGACAAGTGAAATCGCTTCACTTGCTAATGATCCAGTGTGAACGACAAGCAGCAACATGTAACCTGGTTCGGTCGCCAGCTCGATCCCATGCTCGCGCGTAAAATCCAAACCTACCTTCTCCGCAATAAGTATTTGTGCCCTGGCCGGGGCATCATGATTGTTGTTCTGGCAAAACACGCATCGGACCTGCGGATATACTTGTACCCAGAAACACCCACATATCTCCCCCAACTGGGAGCACTGGGCCTGAACTTGAGAAAAGGGCCGCGAAAACTATGATACTAGTGGCCAGGGGCAATGGCATGCCCGGCTCTGTCTCTGTACGTAGTATTGCTAGTAGGGGGGGCGGGGTCTGAAAGATCGGATGTTGAGGGGGGCTCGCCCCCCTTTTCTTGTGTGTTGGACTTTGTGGGCTATGTGACAGCACCTTGACTTGACCAGCTGCTGAATCATAGCAAAAACAAGTGTCAAATAGGTGACGAGGGTGTGAGGGCGACGCGTGTGACTAAGGCCGCCCCCCGAACCCCGGAGGAGGGCGATGAGGGCCGTCCAAGCCAAGCACTTTGATGAAAGTTGAATGGCTGGTCGAAACCGGAGTCGTGGCTCCAAGCTCGGCAACTTGTATTGCATTGGGAAAAACCATGTGTTTACCTGATGCCTGCCATGATGCGGGCAGATGTTGCAAGCATCCTTGAGCCCAATTACTGCGATTGCGTCTACACACGTGTTATACATCCAGAAGCTGAATTCTGTTTTCCCAGTCCGTGGAAGCACAAACTTCGTGTGCATGCATCTGTGTGCTTGTTGTAATTTGGCTCCCGCGCATGACGCAGCGAAAAGAAGCGCCCCGTGACACGTCGAATACAATGATGCGCCCTCTCCAGTTCAAGTTCAAGGTGAGGCAAAGATACGCAAAGTCTTTCCTCCTGCCATGTTGGAGATGTGCGTGGTGGAAGGTCCGAATCAAGTGATCTAACCACCGTCAGTATCCCTCAGTTCGAAAAGGAGGTGCTTGAAGACCCTCATGCAGGATGGGGCTATGCCAGCCTGTCGGGAACAAAGCGCCAAAAGGGGATGAGTTTCCTCCACTTGCTGTCACTTGCTGCTTTGTCAGATGAACTTCACCGGAAGTGGCAGTGCTGCTCCTGGCGGAGATTCGGCATGAACACTTGGGTGATGCCTCCGAGGAATTGTGGAGTTTGCTCAATCAGCTGCCGACACAGGTGGCCGAGCATCTGCTCCTGCATGATCGCTATTTGTTGGTCGGCTTTGCCTCAGGCCATTTTGGTAGTCTGCGGTGCTGGCATGCAGGTTTCACGCTGTTTGCCAACATTTCATGCCTATAGACTCGGACGGCAGGGCATTCCTGCAATTTAAGTATGGCCTTGCCTGCAATGCCTGTGCCCTCGCGCGTTTGGGCACCCACTTGTAACTGGTGATTCCACTTGTTCCTGTGGGTTCTGACGTTTGGTGTGTGGTTCCACTCATCCCGAGGTTTGCACTGCGCACTGGCTGATCCATATGTGGAGCTCGAAGTCCTCGGTGCTGATTCCACTCGCTCCACCGGGCATTGATGTTTGGTCTTTGCCGCGATTGCAGTACGCAGAGCTCATCTATGTGGGAGCTCCAAGGTGTTCCTTGAGGTCGGCGTTTCTTCTGGGCAGCGATGCATTGAGAAACTCAGCAAACTGCGTCCGGATGAAAATAGGGGGCCCCCGCATCAGGGGTTTGGGGCTCGGAGCAAATGTCCAAAAGGGCTGCAATCATCCACCACCACCAAAACTCTGGGAAGGGGAGTTCAAGGGAGACACCCAAGCATCACCGGATTATCAGGGTCCCTAGATTTGGCGCTCCTGGTCCCACTCCTTTGGGCTCTAGGGCCCGAACCCCTCAACGGCGCGAGCAGAACTTGAGAGGATTGGCTCAGGAGATTAAGAAGGGCAACAGAATCCTTAGAATAAGGCTTTGGGATGTTGCTCGAACGAGGAGGAGTATCGGTAACTATGCAGGCTGATTATATATGTATATATATGTATAAATATGCATGTGTATGTGTGTATGTGTGTATGTGTGTATGTGTGTATGTGTGTATGTATGTGTGTATGTATGTATGTATGTATGTATGTATGTATACATAGGGGTGAGCACATATATGTGTATATACACATATGTATATTCATACTGGTTCGGATAGGCCTGAGATCTTGGGATGGTTTAAGGCTCAAGCAGCTGTGACGCAACCCTTAATCCTAAGCAGCTTAAACTCGAAGCCTTCTGATGACTGCAGCGAGTCGGAGCGGAATCTCTGTGGAAGTCGACAGTAGTCGGTAGTACTTTGCGTTAAGAGTTAAGGGATTGGCAAGCACATGTCCCAAATTGAGACAACAAAGCTTGAATCCACCCAATGCAACACGTAGTTATCTTAGTCACAACTTTAGGATTTGCTATATAATATAGCAACACGAGTGCGTCAAATGGACGCTAAGCATCCAAGGCACGGACCCCCCGTCACCACCCCGCTACATGCCTTTGACTCTCGATTTATCAGACCTGAACATGTCTTGTTAGCCGCAGCCGTAGGCTTCTTTCCTACCGCCCACTCCCGCAAGCTCTGAAGAGCTACTTGTAGCTTTCGTGTAAAGCCTCGTACGGTATGGGAATCTCTTACATGCATCCACTCCTCCAGCTCTGCGGCCTCTGCGGGCGGTGGCGGATGCGACGGCGGTGGAGCCTCGCTGTTCTCCTCCGGTTGAGCCAGACAGATCTGTCTTGGGATGATGTGTGCTCCGCTGCAATACCATCCTCGATGCTGTGACTCATAGCGCCCACCTCTGCATCCGCATCCTGTCGGACAGTTTCGAAGTCAAGGGGCGATGCTCTCTGATGCGATACGGAATTCTTCGTGCTAGCGAACCGTGCAAGTCTAGCTGGAGTTTTGCCCGTTGCAAGAGCAGTGGAATGTCATGGAAGATGCTGCAGCTGCGATCTTTCTCCTGCCCAACCCGGAAAAGGAAGTGAACCGCATCGTGTTGACTGATTTTGCCGTATGGCACAGCAGAATCATGCCAAGCGCGAGCAGCCCAGCTGCAGACGACGCGGGCATGGCTCCTCGGACTTCGCATCAAGCATCCTCTCCATCGTTGGCGCATCCGTTTCAAAGCAAAGTGCCTGTAAGGATACAAGGCCAGGCAAATTCGCAGGAGAGCAAAGGGAACCAGAACCGTGAAGCCTCCAACGGAGGAGCCGCATCACCAAGTATCAAGGATCGCAGACGCACCCTGACTGCCTGCCCAGCGTTCATCATGCTCCAGATACAGATCGTGACATTTCAGCAACATCTGAATGAAAACGAAGCTTCTCAGGTGCACACTGGCAAACCCTGCATGGGAATGTCCTCAGTTGGGAGGTTGCTGCTTCCGCTCTTTGCTGTAGCCGCTTCTCAGGCATCGACCAGGGCACGCTGGAGCAGACAACCTAAGCGCTTCCAACGTCTGCCCCTCTCCTGACCAGACGTTTTGTTACAAGAGGCGCCCTTCTTTTGCCGTCATGTGTGGTCATCCGCAGGGTGCTCTGCAGCATAAACTGTAGCGTGCTTTTCCTTCAGATGACCTTTTCACACAAAGTGCCAAGCAATGGATAGAGCTCCAAAACTGAAACTAGATTGAAAGTTCCATGGTGGCATCACTTACTGTCAAACATCCGGATCGCATGTGGATACTTGTGGAGGTCAAAGAGGCCCTGGGGAATAGTAGAAGAATCTCATCATCTATCTACATGTTCGGAGGACAATGAAAGGTAAACTCCATCAGCAGTTGGGAGCCGAAACGAGCCCTCGGGCCGCTTGGATTGGCTTTGCAGTCAACAGTTACAATGCTGAGTTGATTCCAAGACCAGCAGACTGACTCTTGACACCTCAGCCAGTTACAAGTACCGCGGACAAGTGACGAGTGTGTAGAGTGCTGGTCGCACTGTCGATGTGATGTGCTCTTCACTCTATCTATTTTTCTATCTATCTATCTATTATCTACCTATCTATTTATCTTATCTTCTTTCTATTTATCTATTTAGCTATCTTTAGCTCGAGGCGTAAGCGGCATGTGAAGCATCCGGGCTCAAAGACCTGCTCCTGATGCCTTTGGAGAGGAGCGGGACGTAGGTGCGTCCACAACGGTGCTGCTAGGGTGTACATAGGTCCTAGGTGATGATTCCCGGCAGCGCGCGGACGTATCTGCCCACTGAAGCTAAATCTCGAGCAAGAGTAACGAGAGCCTGTATCTCCCGTACGACCAGGCTCTGGGCTTTATGAAATGCTCACAACGGAATTCACGGGCAAAGACGGACCAGTCAAAAGACGACTGAAGACTTCCCCGAAGTGAATTCCCCGACCGCTGGCCACCACAATCTAAGTCCGATGACCAGCACTGGCAGCTTAAGGCACAAACGTCTGCAATATCATTGATAACATTGTAAGCAGAATCATAAACAAACTTCGACACAACTTGTGCATGGTAGAGTGCATGTCCTCGAAGTTGAAGTAGAGATCCCACAGGGGAAAGGCACCTCACAACGTCAACGGGCATGCACGCAGATCCACGCCGTTTCCGTGCGGATTATCTTAGACAGCGGAACAGATCACATCACGACACACCCTGCAAAGATTGCATGCCGTGGCTTGACTAGAGCTTATCCACGGGTTTTCTCTTGTTTCAACAGCTGCGGAATGCATGACACAGGCACTGTCCGAATGCTTGACTCCTGACTGGAGGGTGGATACTCGGAAACGGTGAAAATCAGCTGCTTAGCAAGAGCTACGCATTGTACAACTGCGCGTGCAAGAGCGAAAACAACGCAATGGTTGGGTTCCCTACACTGACACTCGAGTGTGTTTGCGGTTGCGATGCTAGCTGACCAGCTTTTGTAGTACTTGAGCTGGATATACGGGTGTTGCATTCTTGAACGCATTCCGAATTGCCGGCGTGTTCTCTCCCTACTCCTACCCCGACCCTCGAAAAGCCTGAAGAACAACAACTTTGTTGCTCACCTACCTGCCACCGGATCGCTGTGTTGAAAACTATGGTACCTGGGCTCCCGACATGTTGTCAGCATGGAGATTTGTGCCCGCATTCTCAATTCAAAGCTGGCGGCTCTTCAGCCAGGTGAGTCGGACATTGAAGTTGTACTCGTGACACTGCCATTCGGGATTTGGCTTCACACCTCCTGGTTCTCCTTGTTCAGGTTCCCTTCGTCTTCTTCGGCGATGCACTTGGGTCTGATCTGGATGAAACTGAAGCCTGGGCTGAGCCCCCTGCGCCAGTCCCGTCCAACCGTCTCAACCGCCTCTTCAAAAATCTTTCGAAGTGAGTCCTGTAAGATGGCGGCGGATTTGTACCTGAGAGCCAAATGCGAACTGATGCTCCTCGTTGACTTCGTCACTGAAGCCGGCAGCTTCGCAATATTGAACCTCAACACAGTCAACACAACACTCATAACTGATCTCTCTGCTGGCACTGTCAAGCAGTCATGAAGTGAGGTCAGCGCCCACAAGTCAACGCATGCTGGTGCGATTGCAAGGGCTCTCCGGTACACTTGCAGGCCGGAGTGTCCACCTCGGAGCTACGAGGCTGCGAAATGTCTTTCACACCGTGCCCGTCGGCTTTCCGATGCTTGGAAGCTTGGTGGTCGCTAAGCGCACCGACGCAACAAGATGACTTCTGGCAGGCGGAAGCCATCAAGAACACAGAAGCGCGTCGAGCCTTGGAGGTCTGCTTCCTTTTGACACGAGCTTGGACCAGCTGTCCCGCACGAGGCTGGAGCGCCCGTCTTGTGACTGGAAGCACTGTACAGAACAGCCTCAAACAAAAGGCTAGTGCGCAGCTAGCCAGCTGCCCAGCGGCCTAGCCCATCTTTCCCTCCAGGTTCTCCGAATTCAAGAATCCATCGAGGTCACGGAGAAGCACCTAGCGAAGTGAATGCTTGCACGAAGAGAAGCACACCGACAGGCATCGTTGCTGATAAACAGAGCCAAGACACCACAACTGCCAGGAGGGCAATCAAGATACTCCCGGTCCTGAGTATTGCTGCTGCTGCGAAGCGGCTGCAAGGCAAGCCTTCAGAACAACAACATTGTGCCAAGCGTCAATGCCAGTAGCCCGAAAGGTCCATCGACACGAACGCCGACGAGGGCAAGCAGGATCTCCAGGAAGCGCTTTGGCCTGAAAGATTGGAAGAACAAAGTCTGCACTCCTCTCCAGAATTGTCAATACAGCTCAGGTCCTACGACTTGGTACTATCGAAAGCGGGGTTTTTGCTTCTGGAGTTGCAGATGCTCCTCGCATCTAGCCAGTTCTCGAAATCGACGACGGTATGTTTCTACCGGAGTCTTGGTGACAGCTGCCAACATTGGAAACTGTGAAGTAACGCTGACAATTGCGACTTGATGTTGCGAGGCAGGCCATCTGTATCTTGTAATGGAGTAATCGAAGCCTGCTTAAAGCATGGTTGCAGTCTGGGACGACCGATTTCTGCCGCACTTTCCACCGAGGACATGAAAACTGCAAGGACCGTGGGTCGGTGTGGAAGAAGTTTTCGTTCGGGGCCTCAGCTCCGTGCTGCCAAGGGACATGTACTCGAATGCATGGAGGAGGATCGCGGCGACGACCCAGGCGCTCCCAAGTGCACCACGAGTGACAGAACGGCCGGCACGTGCCCGCTCGAGCCTGAAGTCACGTTCGCCAGGAGTTCTGGCCACTGGAGCTATTCTTCACCTAAAGAAATGGAGGCTGTCTTCAGCAATGATTGGCAGAGACGAGCCGATTGTGCCATGATATGGGATGTGTCTGGTGCTTGCGGGCGTTTGAACCCTTCGGAGCGTGGCCAAGCGACATCTGCAAGGCAGCTCTCATTTGGGCGCGAGCTTTCGCACCGACCTCCTGGCGAAGGTGCAACGTGCAGACGAACACAGCCAAACGGTGAGTTCGGGACAAAAGCCAGGTAAGGGGGATGCGGGCGGCCTACATAGAGGCTGCGAGCTTGACTACACGGCGAATTCGTCCCCTTTCAGCGGCCCAGCTGCTCCAGCTCTGATTCTTCAGCATGGTGCACTACAGCACTGCAGCATGCGGCCGCTCTCTGTAGCCTCGGAGTGTGTCCTGATGTGCCCTGTAAGGTAAACCCGTCTAGCACCTTCCTTGGTTCGAGAGTTCAAACATCGGTCTCGTCGAAGCTCGATGGAGCTCTTCGTGCAATTGTATGGACAGGAGCAGCTGGTGCTTCGTGTGCTTTGTCAAGGACCTGTGTATCGCGGCTCAGCTCTTGCCCAAGTTTAGCATTCCACGTGCGACCGCTGGTAGCTGTCCTCCAGCATTCGGCAACAGTGCAAGCTGAGCAAGTGATGTTGATGCAGACACTTGCAATGGCATCTAGGGCAGCAAGCGACTCTCAAAAGCCCAATCAGCCTCAGCACCGGGAACGCTGCGCAGCTGGTCCAGGGCTGCGTGGAAGTTGTTGTCGCCTTGGCAAGGTAATCGTCTGAATTCACGTCAAAGTGGCCACCAGTGCCGCTTTCCCCTGTGCGCCATTTGCCGGGTGAGGCTCGGGCATGCCACGAGGGCCGCGCAACAAGTGTCAAGATCACAGCCCGTCACCTGCCGCACAACAGAGGCCCGTGCCGGCGGAATACTTGAAATATGTGGACACGATACCAATACGAGAACAAACAGCAAGGCCGGCATGTGCATGCATGTGACATGCGCGAGCATTGCATCTAACAAACCAGCATCATCTTGCAAGCTTTGCGTTAGCAAAAGCCGCGACCGGCAGTGCCGCCGACCCTGCTTCATCGGACCCGCGTTTTTCTACCGGCCGCGCCTGACCTCGCCCGGCTATGGCGGGTTTCGGGGCCCCCATGGACGACCCCATGCCAGCGGCGAGCATCATGAGCACTCGGGGCGCCCGCAACCGGCCCTGCAGCATGTTTTGCCAATTTTTGAGTGGGTTGCGGAAGCCGGCAAAAAGGGCTTGCATCATCAGCATCAGCGGGGTTCGGTGCAGGGGGTGCGTGGCCGTGCTGCAGGCTTCTATAAGCACACGTTCACATGTAAACTGTAAACATACGCATGCATGCATGGATGGAAGCATGCACGGATGCATGCCTGGATGGATGGATGGATGGATGGATGGATGGATGATGATGGATGGAGGGAGGGATGGATACAGGATGGATGCATGCGTGAGTGTGCATGTAAACATGTATACGCTGAATGCCTCTATGCATGCATGTTACTTGGTGTGCAAGCCTCGGCCAGCTTTAAGACGACACCCGGCTGCGGTTCGTCCTCATCCTGTCATGCAAATAGGTGAGCGTGGTGCTTATGGCCCCAGCCTTAACAAAGAGAAGATGGTTCTGCTACAAGTGTTCCGATGCTCTACAAAACATCCAGATCGATGCAAGATGCTGGACGGTGCATCGTACACATTGGCACATCTTTCGCCATGGCTGCTTGAAGTTGTGCTTGTTACACGCAGGGCATATTGTGGGTCTGGCGGAAAAGACGATTCGGGGCACGATAACCTGCCCCCAAACAGATCCGCCTCTGCTGCGTAGGAATTGTTGGAACAGAAAGGTACATTGGCACAGCTGTTCTTCAAGCTACAGGTCAGCTGAAGACCACGTGTGAGGCCTCTCTTAGTCCGACGATCATCGACACTGTATGCGTTGCCCTGCGCTGTGCTGATGGTCAAGCCCTCCCTTGTCCCGTCACTGGAGTTCGCTGCTGGGGGTCTCTGGAGTCCGCACGAATGACGTGAAGGTACACGTTGCCAGGTTATTTAATGTCCACTCTCCCTCCAATAAGGTGAAGGTCTACTTCATGACCTACTCTGCTCGCTTCGAGATATCATGTATTCTGCATTTCAATAGAATCGAGTGGGGCAGCATGCATCACGAGGCTAACGGGTGTACGGCGACTTGATGATGCACATGAGTTTGCACATGTTTGCACCGGCGGAGTCCTTCATCTCTGGAAACATCGATGTATCCTGCAAGCTTACTAAGCTTCACCAAACCCACGTCCTTGTCGACTGCTCCATGCTTTGCTACAAGAGGTGTTTGGGAGTGGGATCTCTGCCTGCAGAAGACCTCCATCACGGTGAGGAAAGGGTGCCGTGCTGCTGGTCGACCGACCTGGCGATACCTCTGTGCGACGAAAATGGATCAAAGTGACTGATGAGAGCCCTGCAAGATCCCATTCAGTAGGAAGATGTAGGAAGCAGCTACAGCTCGCGTTGCAACAGCACGCCTCAAGATGGCTGTCCATTTGATGAAGCACGAAGTCACGGCGCTGAAATCGCCATCCACGGTGCCATCAGCACGCTCGCATCGCGCTCCGGCATGAAAGTAAAGGGGCTAGCTCGTGGCTCGGTAGACTGCATCTGTATGCCTGAATGCCTCTCTCGACAAAGCATGGCGGTCAATGATTATCCTTCATGACTGTGCCTTCCACTTTCCAAGCCAAAACACCAGAGCCCGACTCTGCCCGACTCTAGACTCTACAGGTCGCACTTGGAAACTCCTGGCCATGCTCTGAGGAGCCAGCGCTTTTTGACGAGTTCAGCCAACCTGTGACTGCGTGGCGACTTCGACGCTAGGTCGCACACAACAAGGACAGTGCAGAAACCTCTTCCAGTAGCCCCAGCACAGTGGAAACTCTTTGAGGAAGGCTTCATACCTCAGTGGCACGCAGACCCCAGGTGCTGCAAAGCAAAAACAAAATAAAGCTCATTGCGTAAGAGTCTTGCAAACTTACTCTCTCCTCAACTGACCCATGGGTCTCAACCTGTGCAGTCAAGCATTGACACAGCTTGACAATCTGCAACATGTCCGGTTTCGTCCACATCGAGCATGATAGCCTTGCGATGCTGTGCAACAGTCTGGGGGCGCAGCTTGCTTGATCAGTGCCAGCCACTCGTCAAAGGCTCTGGGATTTGTTCTCACGGCCGCACATAGATTTCCAACCTGATCGCGAGACTCACGTTTTCAGCACGTATCCAACGGCCCTCCGCAGCCCGCCACAGCGCCTCTTAGCAATGGCAAACCAAGAGATCAGAATGCCAGTTATCGCAAATGTCATAGTGAGCCGCCCGGCCTCTGTCGTGCTCAAGGCACCCACGCTGAAGCACGGCAACACCTGCTTCGGCCCCATGTCGGCATGCACATGATTCACTACCGTCTTTCTACCAGCAATGGTAGTGTCAGGCTCCCGCTCCCCCTGACATCGCTACCTGCATTAAAGTAGTAACAAGATATCAGATATCACTCTGAGTGTTCTCCCCGTTCTGAGACAACAGCACTGATTTCTTGTACTCGGTTGCACACCCAAACGAACAAACATGCTTGATCGACTTTCCGTGGCCTGATTGCCATCACAGCAGGACAACAACACTGTGGTAATACGATGCCAATGTAAATGAACAGCATGGATGCTATGGACATCTTGTAGGCGAGAGGTTGCTTAGAAGGCTGTTTGAATTCGATATCCATTTCTCAGCAGCCTTTTTGATCCTCGCAGATGGTGCCAAACCCTACAACAGCACGCGAGCACGGACAACTTCCCACTTGTAAGGCAATTTCATTCTACAGGCTTGCCACAAATTTGACAACCCAACGTCAAAAGGGTTGTTGTGGAGAGCATTCTCCGCCTCCGGGTAAGCATCCTAATCGTGTTCTGCGACACCACACACAGCATGTGGTGAGCCGCGTCTTCCAGTTTGTTGATAACGGAAGAAAACCCTTCGAGCAAAAATGCTTTGCTGCTCTGTCGAACACGATATCACCCTACCGCGACTCACAGGCAAAAGCATTTGACAGACTTGCAAGGTGGTGGACACTGCCCCTTTTTCTTCTCTGCTTCTTCCTGCCTTCCACCTAGGCTGTCCTGCAAACGGTCTTGCAGCAGAGGCTACTGTCGAAGTGGCTGAGGCGAGAACACTCTCTGTTCCTTCGTGCATTTCTCTCTCGCTCTCTCACCCTCTCACTGACTCTCTCACCGACTCTCCCACTGACTCATGAGTCACGCATGCAAACACAAGAAAAACAAAAAAACATAAACCAGTGACAGATCGGCATGCGAACACGCACTAAGGTATCGGCAGGGCTGTGCAGACCGCAAGTGTGTTGGAATTTGACGCAGTCGTCGCCGAAGTCTCCTGATAGCTTTGCTCGCGACACACAAAGGCCTTAAAGTGTGGTCCTCTTTGGCGCACCTTCGTCAAGACACTGTTGGAAAGCGGCATTGCACTGCTCGTCAGAATCGAGCTGGCCGGGTGGGTTGATCCTTTCAAATTCGCGAGAGTGTGACATTTGACATCCCAGACGGCAACATCTAGCTCTGCATACACCCCGAGAGATCAGCAACACAATTGGCGCCTGTCTTGCAACGATGCGCACTCCATAGCCCTTGGCAAGTGCCACATGCTCGTTCGCCAATCGCGCAGAAGACTCGTCATGCACAAACACACATAGACAGAGAGAGAGAGAGAGAGAGATTTCTCAGAAGCGTGAGGTTGCCACATCGGTGGCGACAAAGGCACAAACATGCCGTCTTCTAGCAAGGCTGCATAAGGATCTTCCCTAGAGAGCCGACTGACTGCGCATCACTGATTCTCACCGTAGACGTGAAAGACATGCTCGCGCGAATCGCAAGACGCACACAGCTCTGAGCCAAGCATGTCCTCTGCTGTTGGGACGACACCTCAGGCACAGTCGACTCAGCGGGCTCGCTGGACTTCGCGGGAAGCAGGAAAGCTTGGTTTAGACGCAAAGCGCTAAAACACACAGATGCACACACAGAGGCACCTCCTGTTTTGTTCATTGCTGCGAAATCTCGGTCATACTGCTTCAAGCGGGCCGTTTTTTTTTTTGGTGGCGTTTGCTTGTCTTCAGGTGCTTGCAAGAGCAAACGTCCAATCAACTTTGCTCTTCGTGGCATGTCTACCGTGCCAAGGCCAACGTCAGCTGAGATCTGCACCATCTGTCGAAGGCGCTGAACCTGTACTGTGATGGCACGGACATGCGAATTCAGATTTGCCGCTTTGGGTCACCTCATCTTCGTGTCCAGCCGAGGTGGCCGCCTCGCCGCACACACTGTCCTGAAAAAGCTGGCAGAGCTAGATGATGCTAGATGAATGATCCACACTTCGTCTCAGAACTCAGGAAATCCAGTCCTCAACGCCGGTTCCAACGGAGACCAGGCTGTGCTGGCCTGACGGCTCTGACCGTGAACGTGTTGCAGTGTTGCACTGGCCAGGATTGTTCTTAGAGCTCCCGACAAACCGCTCCAGCGTCAGACGCTACAGAGGCGATGCTGGAAGTCTCAAGACCACCGAGCAACCTCTGCGCAGGGACCCAGAGCAAGCACGATCACGGCTCACAGCAACCGAGAACGCCGGGCCGCGTGGGATCGCTGTCATTGGGCTCAGGCTCCTGCCAGGCTGCCAGGCTTGCAAATGCAAGACTCTGTTTGGACTCTCAGTGTGAAGCCGCCTGCTTCTGGGTGCGCTCGCCCAGCCCTGCCTTTCTCCACCTTCAGCAGCAAACTCCGACACGGCTGTTTCCAAGACGGATTTGCCTTCTAATTCTGCTTGCATCTGCTTGCGGCTTTCTGATGATGTTCTGCGAAGATTTGAAGACATTGGACGGGTCTCAAAACGAGGGCCAGCTTGGCGCAGGAGCTTCGGAGGTGGCCCTTTCGTCCTTGACTATGGGGTTGGTGCCGGGAGCCTTGGAGCAGGTGGGTGGACGCCGTATCAAGAGGGTGCTCAGTCCAGTGGCAGTCAAAGGCTGTTTTTATCGCGCACGCGATTTTGTTCCGAAAAAATGCGTGCAACTGTCGCATCTATCTTGTATGTATATATGTCATCTGTATATGATGAAGACCGGCCTCAATACCTGTTTTCTCACCGCCAACTGTCACAAGTATCCAAAGCAATTTTGGCTAAGAACCAAGAGATTTCAGAAAGGACACACAGTACCTTACCCCATTCAACCTAAATACGTAACAGCACACCGGGCAGTCGCATCAACAGTCTTAGGCAGAATCACACAAAACCCAAAAACATGTCAGACGAATACGAAAACAAACAAATTTGATATTCTTTTGTGCGTTTTCACAGACAGCTTTTCCAGGAATGTTCCGTGTGCTGTCTTCTTCCGTACGCTACTCGAGGT